ATATATATATATGAAATCTCCTCAATCCTCACTTTTACCCTGAGTGAATTCCACTGACAGGGACATTTAGGCTCATAGAGATCAAATAATTGCCTCTGGTCATAAAAATAAGAGTAGAGTTCATACTAGCTCAATACTTCTCAATAATTATCATCAATTAGAAGAAGAGTAAGGGGGCTCAGCAGTTAAGAACACTGGCTGTTCTTGCAGGAGACCCAGTTTCAATTCCCAGCACCCACATGGCAGCTAACAACTGTCGGTAACTCCAGTTCCAGGGGAGACAGCCTCTTCTGTCCCCCACAGGCATTGCACAACACGGGTACACTTACCTACATGTCCCAGTTCCAGGGGATGTAACTCCAGTTCCAGGGGATCAGACAGTCTTTTCTGTCCTCACAGGCATTGCACGACACGGGTGCACTTACCTACATGCAAGGCAATACATGCATACACATAAAATAAAAATAAAATATTTTTTAAAAATTAAAAAGAAAGAAGAGTAAGATGCATTAACATAATTTTTCTTTGAAAAATCTCTTTTTCTCTGAAAAAGTATCCTAAAGGGACCCAGTTCCTGAAACTGCAGTCTCAAAAGCATGCCCAAGAGCAAAGCATAGCCAATGGAATGTGTTAATTGATGCAGGACTCTTTTAAAGTACACCAACAAAATAATTGTTTCAGCACAATTCTAAAGGGATTCCTAAATCTAATTCTGACCTTTCATCAAACCCACAAATATTGTTCCTACTCTAAGATTGGTGGCAGGAGGAGAGAGAAAGTGGTATATTAGCTGTCTGTTATACCTGAGCTTAGACATATCAGAGGAGAGGGAGAGGAAGAGGGGAAGTTTACAATGCACAAATCCACTTAAGCTGCTTCTATTGCCTCCAACAACAAGCAACACTCCTGCCCATCAGTCTCAATGCATTAGCAAACCATCCTCTTCATACAGGAAGGGGAGTAAGGGAAACTTAAGCACACTTTGGACTCAGGTGCAGTCCATATAAGTTAATTGAAGTTTTTCTGCCCTACTATTTTTAAATAAAATTTTAAGATTTTTTTATGAGTATGTGGTAAATCTTTGTGTCTGCCACATGTATAAGAGTGAAGGTGTCAGATCCCCCTGGAGATGGAGTTACAGGCAGCTGAGGAAGTTAAGAGGATCTGAACTCAGGTCCTCTGGAAGAGCAAATGCTCTTAACTTCTGAGGCATTTCTACAAACAATGAAATCCATAGATATAGTTGTTCAACAGAGTTCTCTTTTAAAGAATGAGGCAAATAGGTCAAATGCTCCAATGCCATTTTCTCTATGAAGCCTTCCCTCTTCCCTGTCAGAGTTAATTTCCAGTTCTAGATCATATTGTTTGTATGTATCCCATCATCCTCACTAAGAGCTGCAGGCATATTTGCTTCCTCCTGTGTATTGTCTACAGTTTATCTTTTCATCCTTCATGATTTCTTGTGACCTGCTTTGAATGATGAATCATTGTCCTTCCCTAAGGTGGGTGGGTTACCTCAAGGTATGACTTGAAAAATCAGAAGTGATCAATAAAAGCAGAGAAACAAGATACAGAGAAGAGAACACAAGAATATTGATGCTTCCATCTGAAAGGATTCCAAACCCAGGTTGGAAGGACAAGCAGAGATGGGCAATAACTGGTCACATCTCCAGTGGTTGCAGGGTCTCACCTTCCCATTTGCAACCAGTCAAAAAGAGCTGCTTCTATCCAAGGGCCCAGAAGACTGCATAATTGGTATAGGATGTAAGGGACCAGCTAGAGGTGTAAAATGAACAGCACCCAAGGAGCACTTTCAGGGAAATGTATCTACTCACTTGCAGAGAAGGACTGCCTCAGTCAGGAATGATAGCAAAACAGATAATTCCAGAAAGGACGCAGCATTTCATCCCACTAGCTAGTCATGTGATACAGTTCAACTGTTACCTCACCCAGTCTCAACCTGTTTGCTAACCTGTCACTGACTAGAAATGACAAAGTTATCACAGTGTACCTGTCAGGAGACCTCTAATTCTAAGATTCTATGTTCCAACCTAAATTTATGAATGCAACATTCTCCAAGATTGATTTTGCATCCATCTCCAAATAAACTAAGGGAGAGAAGGGCTACCCTCCAAATGTAGGGCACAGAGAGCACAGCTGATCTCCAAGAGGCTGCCTCCTTATTTGCCTTCAGCTGGATAATCAGCTTTTTGTCTCAAAACCAGATAAACATAACTCACCTGCTGCTGGTTTGCCCTAGTATAGATGCTGTTCTATGGATCAGTGGTCTCATCACCTCCAAATTCCCTGAAAATGTATCAAAATGATGACCTCACCAAGGTGTCTGAGGATATCAGACACAGAAAAACAAGGCTTTGTGCTACAGCATTGTCAGTGGGGGTTCACAGCTGGGGAAAAGAAAAATTGGGCCTTGAAAGTCAGAATTCAAACAAGTACAATACTTACTTGAGCCACCAGAATGATACCCTATTAAACTGGGGCACACCTTTTCTTCTGATTCATCATCATCCGGGTTTATATGTTCCCAGAGCATTCTGAAAAGGATTCAAATGACAAATTGCCCTTGTAACATTGTGATGTGTAGGTGAATATTGTAGAGGCTGGTAAAATGTTTGCAGACTGACAAGATTTTTTTAACTAGCCTACAGAAATCTTTAAAATATCTTAAATGCCACCTGAAGCGCCATATGAAGAAATTACTCTCACAGAGCTCCAAACATACCCACATTTAATGCTGTCATTTCATACAAAGGAAACAAGGACGCGAATCTCACTGAAAACATGAAATCACCCATTAATTCCCTCAAAAAGCCAAGGTTTGTCTCCATAGGACACATCGTAGTGATTGTAGTTCTCTTGAGTACAGGGGAGAAGAGCGAAGTGTGAGGGATTCATGTCAAGAGACATATCCGAAGCTCTGACAGCAGGATTTCTATTCAATAAAAACTTACTGACTTGTCATTAGCTGGCAAGACAGGCTTGGTGGGTGGCTTTGTTAGAGTCACTTATGAGTCACAGATGCCACAGGCTGTATTCCTGAGGGCAGAAGAGAAATAACAGCAGGCCACCTGCTTTGTGGGGAAAGCTCAAAGGTGATGATGGGTAAGGAAGAAGAATCCCCACTGGGACTGGGACAGAGTTGCAGACTACTCAGTATAATCATGTTATATGGCATAAAGGAGCCTAGGACGGTCAGAGTCAGAAGCCAAAAGCAGCAGGCGGTGCAACGAATAGCTGCAGCCACCAACAGAAAGGAAATATATTTTTAAAATTTTATTATAACAATGTCACACAATCATAGTGATTTGAAAACTACAAGAAAACAAAAATAAAAAAAAGAATTGTGATAATCCCACTATTTAATCAGTATTTATTGAGCTGCTTCTAAACACCAGGCCCTGCCATTTTCCAGGCCCTGGAGATGGAAAGGTCAACACTAGAGTACTCTGAACTTGAACTGCATGAGAGGAGACAAAGATGAGTGATGTAATCACATAGAGGGTAAGATCAGCACTTCCTAGGCTCAGTACCCCAGAGAAACAAATGCAGTCTCTAAAAG